TGTCTATGTGCAAACGCCTTGGAAGAGATTTGTTTTGAAATGAATAACATGCACATGAGAAAATGCAATTGTTTAGAGTCACATGAGTTTGCAGGAAAATGCTATCTCAGTGCAGACAAGCCAGGATCACCAGTTTTCCAGGGCAAGTACCCTGTTAGGCATGATTAGAATCAATTTGCTGAGCCAGATCTCTGGAGGCTGTCGACTGACGTCACTCCTTGACCTTCGGCCCTTGTGCCTTAATTAATGGTCAGGCTTTTAGTGCTTTCACTGCTCGGTGTGGCACTCAGTGTCACGAAGTCAATGAGTTCAGTGCCAGGAGCATGCCCTGGGCTTGCCAGCACGAGCAAGGTCAGGTAATGCTTTAGACACCCTTACAAAAAGGTTTTGCAAGTGAGCAAGAAGATACTCTGGGCCTCCAGCAGCTTGTGCTTGCGGTCCAGCACTGTCTCAGCTGGCCCCTAACAAATGAAGCACTTGCTTGGTACTTTAAAAACAACATGGAGACAAAAAGTTCAGACCTGGATGCCACACGCATCAGTGCAAAAACTGTTCTGTTCATTGCACTTTTCTGAGGTCAGTGACTTTACTTGGTTTCTCAATGAACTGCACTGCTTTTTGCCCTGCACTCCCTGGTTGGGTGTGCAGGTGCCACCAGAGTTGGGCCAAACAACAGCTCCTTGTCAGTGGAACACTTTCAAGATTTTGTGAGATGCACACTTGTAATATCACAATGTAGCAGGGCTTGGGAAAATGGATACAGAGAAGCATCCGGCTGAGAGGAGCACAGCTGAGCTCCTGCTGCTCTGATCAGACTGCTGTTCACTTTTGCTTCTTTTTTTCATGCCCATGCTGGAGCACCATCCATTGACTGAAAGATGCATTTGTCAACAGTGGCTAAACTTGCTACATACATTCCTGATTTTCAGGGCAAAGCTCAGAACATCACAGGTGTACTTATGGAAATTCCTGATTCTGAAACATAGGTACTAGGAGGTAGAAAATGGCCTGTTTGCACCAGGGGTTGGGAAGATCCAAGGAAGATGCCAGAAACAACAAAGAACAGTCAGAATCTGTATCACTGCAAGGAGAAGAAAGTACAATTACATTTACCAACAGGAAACCGCACCACTTACTTCTATAGCAGAACCACAGTTAATTTTCTCTCTCTCCAGCACATGGCAAGAGAAAAAAAACTTGAATCAAGTATGACTTGAGTGGTTAGAATGCCAGACTAGGGCTGGGAAGACCCAGTTCAAATTCCCATTCAGACACTGGGTGATCTTGGGCCAGCTAAATCAAAGTTAGCATTACGCAAGCGCAAAGGGTCAACAATTCTGTCTGTCCCTTTCCTCTTTTTAATTCCTCCACTCTTTCCCCAATCAGCGGCATCCCATTTGAAATCATTGTAATATGAGGGTGGAGGAACGATGGCAAGAGCATAGCATCGCTTTATTTGCCTGTCTCCAAATAAAGACCATCAACATCTCTCCCCCCCTTAATCCAACACTGAGAAAGACTTCTTGCCCATCATAAACCAAGTTGCCCCAAATGGTCACCACCCTTTATAGGGACAGTTAAGTACTTAATTAGTATGGTCTCTTTGAAAGCTTGGTGAATATCACTGTCTTTCCCTGACCCCTTCGGGGGTGCAGAGCTAGGTTTGTTACTTCTCATTAAGAAAAGCCAAGCACAATGTTAGGCTAACAATATGTAGGTTTGCGTAATACAAAAAGAGAAGCAAGAACAGCTCGTTATAGGAAATGCAGCTCAGATGCTTGATGGAATTATCATCTGCTGAGCCTGGCACTTTACTCTTATTTTGTGGGAAAAAGTAATTTCAATATCTAGATGCACTGTGTATTAGAGGCTGGTTCCATAGAAGAAATGAATTGGGGTGCATTGAGACTGATGGCTTTGTTCTGATGACAGTGAAGTTAATAGCACAAGAGACAAGCAGCAAAATCCATTTGAGATTTTAAAATTAAACTGCACAAAACTGACAGCATCCTAGTGACCATCACTGGAGCTAATTTCTGTCTTGTAATGACTTCATACATCTGACTAGACAATGATGCACATTACAAAATGCACTGCAAATGTTGTTAATTACTTTGAATTTTCATTTCTTCCTTGTCCTCAAATCAATGGCATAAGACAGTAGTTTATAGCCTTTTCAGATCTGCAACCACATTTGACCCCAGTCGGCTTGTGGGATCCACATTTATTTTCTAATCCGTGTATCTTCTCCCCCGGAAAAGGCTTATCCCAGCTATAAAAAACAAGCTTTCTATGCAGAAAGTTGCAGGGTCAATTCCCTCATCTTCAAGTAGGACTGGAAATGACCCATGTTGAAAACCCTGGAGAACAGCTGCCAGTCCATGTAGGCAGTAATGAGTTAGAGAGAGCAATTATCTGACCTGGTGCAAGACAGTTTCATGTATTTCATAGAGGTTAAGCTATAAATGGCATCTAGCCATGATGGCTACACAGGCAGTCCCAGGGCTACAAATGAGCTCCGTTCCTGAGAAAACAGAAATCTGTCTTTAAGTTGAATTTGTATGTAAGTTGGATCACATATAGTCAGCCCTCCACATTTGTGGGGATCAAGGGGGCAGGAACCCATGTGGGGGGACCCCTCACCAGTGCCTTCTCTTTGCAGCAATGAAATGCCAGAAAGATTTCCCTCTCTGGATGGGCAAGGAAGGAACACATGCTTTGGAGGCCTTCCTCTCTTCCCTTTTGTTTCTCATGATTATTTTCCGCAGTCATCTTAAAAAATGAATAGGCTTCATATGGCAGTTCGTAAGTTCAGGTTGTTCATAACTTGAAGATTGCTTGTACATTACTTCTAGTTAGTATCAGAGGCAGCACGTAAATGCACACCAGTTTCTGGGGAACATGATTGCAACAGCATCCTACTTGTGGGTTTCGTTTCTTACTGGGTGAGCAAATTGCCTGGCTAGATGGGGCCCCTAGTCTGATCCAACATGGCTCTTCCGCTAACAGTCTGACAAGCACCTAATCTTGAAATATTAGTCATTCCAGCTGAGGCAGATATGTTAAAGGGCACTTATGGGGAAAAGGTTAGGGTCTGGGTAGTGAAGGAATCAATTTATCCCACCTAATCCTCACATGGAGATAAATATTTGGAATACCATAATCATTTCCAGGGGGATATCTCCAAGAAACAGCTTCCTCATGGCAAGGAATCCCTCTATCTAGTTTGGACATACAGAATGACCAAATATACTGCCTCATCGTCCTTCAGCGGTAACAGCCTCATCGTGACAAAAATAACTTGTCCCAACCTTGTTTAAGGAACTCAATTCACCCTCATGGTATTCTTCTGAGAATGATTTGGATTGAAAAGTATTGACTAGGCCAAAGTCATCAGGAAAATGTTATAGCTGAAGACGGGTCTACTCAGCCCAAGTGCCCGGTCCATAAACCTACATTTGACGAAGCTTCAGAATGGGAAATTAACACTGTAATCTCATAGCTGCTTACCTGGGAGTATGCCACATTGAGTTCAATGGGGTTTAGTTCCAAGTAAGCATGCACAGAATTGCACAGGGCAGAGTCAAAACAAGAAACATAGAAATACAGAAAACAGAGCAAGCCAGAAGCCTCCCGAGCCAGCCAGTCTAGTCTGATCCCCATCATGTCCATGTCCAGCCTATCCTTAAACACCCTCACTGATGGGGCTTCAGTGAGGCCCGTGGAAGCCCATTCCACACCCTGGGGGTCCTAACTATCAGGAAGCACTTCCTGGCGTCCACCTTGAATCTTGGTCCCCTGAGCTTTGCTCCATTGGAACACATCCTGCCCTCATCCGCAAGAGAAAAAAGGTCACAGCCCACCTCTGTGTGACACCCCCTCATGTACCTGTACATCACTAACAGGTCAGCTCTGAGTCTCCTTTTCTCAAGGCTGAAAAGACCCAGTTCCCTTAGAGATTGCCCCAAAGATCATCACATAACCCTGCATTTTTTCCCTTGTATTACTGCTTCCAAGTGTCTGCTTTAATACTCTGTGGCAGACAGCAAGTGCAGAGAGCTGCTGCCTGTGCAATGTAACTGTGTGAATGTCTTTTTTACAAAGAGGCAATTTAGGATTGATTATAAATATAAAATAATTCATATATCAATATGTATAAGTACTGATTTAAAACCCACCACCAAGATCCTTTAGCGCCCAACTTCCAGAGAAAAAACTGGCCAAAGAAAATTCAGAACCCAAAGAACCAAAAGAACTAATCCACTGGAAAATAGCTTTTTTAAAGTCTCCAGACCTGCAAGAAACATTTTAAAATGCCTTTGTTTTTATTTCACAAATGCATTGATTTCCATATTAATTCATCCCAGCCAAGAAACCATGGTGCACTGACTTGGCAACTTGTAGCACAGGATTCTAGGCCTCATGACCTAAGACTCAGATGTGTAGGAATAGGACATGGACATCAGACCAGAATACTAGCATTCAGCGAACATTTCCTCTACATGTCAGGATGGCATATCTGTAGAGGTCTTGGTGAAAACCTATCCTTCCAGGATTTAAAGCAACATGACTTCATGGAAACTCACCGACCAGCTCTCTTTGTCTAGTCAAATCTGTGCTTTATGAATAAACAAATGAAAACAAATTCTGTTCCCAGTTATGTTGCTATAAATCCAAAAAAATTGCAGTTAACTGCACTGAAACTATGGTTTTATTTAATTCCAGAGATCTGCCCTAGGCGATTTTCATATCCCATTTCTTCAAAAATTAAAAACTTCGGTTGTAACTGCACAAACACTTACCTCAGAGTAAATCCAACACAACTCAGTGAGACCTGCTTTTAAGTAACAGTCACAGGATCAAGCAGTAAAATATCAAATGGCAATTCTTCAAAATGTCATCTGTTCTCCTTCGCTATTTCGTTGCATTCCAGTTTTTGAGATTACATAAAATTAGTTGTCAGTGACTTTGTTTACAAATTCCCATAGCACTCTGAGGCATACATTCCAGACAGTTTTATTTGTATATATTTTAGTTGCAAATGGAAGAATCCTCTTCCCTCTCACACCAGAATCTTTTTTGGACTCCTCAAGAAATACTTTGGCTGCCAGTATTCCCCAGTTACAAGAAAGACATTTGCCTTGACTCATTGTTTTATTTCTCAGGCTGTGATGGCACCAACACAAAACCCAGGGGCCTACTGAATACAGGTACAATAAATTCATGGACAATAAGTCTATCAAAGGCATCTAAATGGAGCAGTCATGTTCAAAGGATGAAAAAGGCCACTCCATGCAAGTCGCTGGCTATAGGGAGGAGGGAATGGGCAGACAACCATGGTGAAGGAAACTGCCAACTATAAGTTTGAACAGACTCCAAGTGTCTTCCTTTAACCATGATTAAAAAGCTATTTTTCTGGTAGCCTGAGACTTCAGAAACAAAGCTCCACTAACCCTTGAATGCCTGGAACGGCTAAGAGAGACTAGGTCACAGGTTTTCCTTTTTCTTTTTATGCCCAAGGCATTTCAGACTTCTATAGCTCTTTCGCAACCTTTTCCCCCAGAAAGTACTTCAAGAAATAACAAAGCATCTCTTATAAACTAAGATTGCTGTCCCACACAAATTTACCAGACAGTAAGCACAGTTGAAGGCGGCGGTCCTTAATAACCAACTAAACATGGATATGATTCATCTATGATTTGGGCACATGCTTTTGAGAGGAACGCTGTCCCACCAAAAAAGCAAAAGGAAAATTATCTAACCATCCAACATGATTTCTAGACCACCTCTCAGGGAAGAACACTCACAACCTATAGCTAGCCAGGGCTGCGCCAGAGGAAACCAAGGTGTTGCTTCCTACAAGCTTGCCATTTGCTTCTTTCTGGATTTCTGAAGAGTGCAGTAACATTCAAGAGTTGGTGCTGTGCTGACACCTGGGGCTGCTGAGGAAGACCTAACTAGAGTTTGAACCCAACCGCTAAACATGGTCTCAAACTCTGGGTTGTCCCTCCCTCAACAACCTGGAGTGTCAGATTCGCATGTCATGGTAACAGTGTGTGAAGAGAGATGTTCCTGGGTTCTCTGATGATCTGGAAATGATGCAGAAGTGGCAGATGCACAACAGAGAGAGGGCCTACCTGTTCACTCTGCATTGTTCAGTGGTCTCAGCCAAAGCTTTGGGGTCCCCACAGAGAGTTTGTATTTACACAGTCTGTCGTATGCCTGAGAATGGCTAATAACTCTCAGTCTTAAACACAACAGTGAGTAATCTTTGACCCTTAGACTGCAACTCCTATCAGCCCTAGCCAGCAGAGGCAAATATGAGGGATCATGGGAGTTGCAGTTCACTGACATCTAGAGGGTATGCATCACCCTCCCTTGCTTTAATGTGCCACACAGGGCTCCCTTGTTTTTGCTGCAACAGACCAATGTGCTACTTCCATGAATTCAGGGAAAAGAGCTGCAGAGATCAAGGCCTAACAGGTGATCTCTGAGAATAAAACCAGTCTCCTTCTCCTAAAACTTAAGTCTTAGACCCTTCCAGTCTTTGGTACTGGGATGGTCCTGCAGATGAACAGACTCCCAACTGCCTTGGTTTACAGCACTTGCTCCCAGTTAAATGTGTATGGAGCTTTCACACCATCAAGGAGAGCAAACTCAAAACAAAAACCCAGCCCAACCCAACCTGCATGGATCATTCCAGGTCAGTTCTTGTTGCAAATAAAGGATAAATTATCTTTCAACACAGCTGTTCAGCGGGTCCCTTGAAAGTAAGCCTCTGTGGTAAAACAGAGTGCTGCTAAAGGATAAGAACAATAAAAAATGTTTATAATGAATTAATATTATATTGAATTAATTCATTTTTTAAAACGTCTCAATTTTTCACCATTCATAATCAAAACAAAACAAATGAATTACACATACTATATACACTCATTTTTATACATATTAACATCTTCATTGTCTTGGCTATTTCAAAAGACTGTGCATTACTGGGATAAGAAAGCAGGGGGTGGGATAGGAATATGTTCTTATATTTTTCCCAAGCAAATAAAATCAACTGCCATCATTAGAAAAAGGGGAAACATATTTCAATTTCTCATTGCTAACATTGCATTTATGTCCCAAATGAGATTCCGTAATTGATCCATGATTTGCTTCAGCTGTTGATTCTTCTGTTTCAGTTTCTGTGGAAAAAAAAAGTTTTATCAATGAGGGTGACATATTTTGAATTTTAAGCTGTAAAGGGACAGTATGCTGAGCAGCACAGAGGTCTGTTACATAGAGCCAAGGAGGGACCATTGAGGCAGTCAGCACCAGATTAATGGTTGATGACCATGATGAGAAGGAGCAATGAGTTAGGCCTCACTGGAGGAACACTCTTTCACTCCTCTTCCATATCTTGCTTGATTTCCCAAATGCTTTCCTAAAGTAGTTTCTCTGTGTCATTGGAACAAGGCAGAAGTGAGCAGTGTTTGCTCTTCCAGATGTTTTGGTCTACAAGTCCCATGACTCCTCACTATTGCCTTTGCTGACTAGATGGGATGGGAAGCAACACATCTGCAGGGCCTAAAGTTCTCCACCCTAGGAATAGTGCATCAGATATTCTCTTTCCATATTTGCATGCATGCTTTGACACAAGGTTTAAAGCAGCCTTCCTGAACCTGGTCCCTTCCACTCATGTTGGGGTACAAGCCCCACCATCCCCAGTCAGCAGGGCCAATGGATCCAGTAGCTGGGGAAGGTGGGCCTGAAATCCAACCCATCTGGTGAGCAAAGGCTAGTCTAGAAGAGACACATTGATATGATGCTAACGTAACTCCTGTTCAGGTGCAGCTGAGCCGACAGGCAATGTGGACAAAGGGGACTTGCAGGGCCATGAAGCTCAAGATTGGGCTCCTCCTGGCCCCTCACATGTTGAAGAATAACTTCTGGGGTGGGGTGATATTTCCATTCCATGAGTCAGTAAACATTATTTCCCACTCTTAGAAATCATGTGAGGGTCCTTCATGGACAGAAAAGATTCCCTTTCTGCAGAGGCTCATCCTTAACAGTCCAAGAAGAGCTGGGCAAACTCAGGGACAATACTGAGGCCTCTGTTTTGCCTCTCCATGTGACTACTGCACAAAGAGGACTGTCCTTTGGGTAAGAATGACAATTAAGAACAGGGTAGATTTCTAGCAATCGGTGCAAGCATGGAGAAAGAGCCATGCCAGCTTCTCAAATAGCTTTGCCAATATATCTTAAGCTTGATTTATGGTTGAAACTAAGGCCTCAAGTGGAAATGCCTAATCATGTAGAATTCTATTTGGTTTTGGAAGATCTGCAAATAAATCTTAGGAAATGGGATAGGAATAGAAGACTAACACACTCAGGTTCTGCCTACCAATGTTTTCAGGGACTGACTTGTACTTGCATTTGCTTGTTGTTTTAACTGATAACTATTGTGTATGAGCCTAGCATTCATTTATTACAGAAGCCTACATGACAATCACAATACAATCAAAGCTTATCTACTTCAGAGTACACAATGAGCTCTACAGCACTTACACAGAGTTCAATAAACACAGGATTGCATCCTTAATATGCTGAAGAAAGCAAGAACAGGAAAACTTACGAATTGCCAAGCAAACTTCTGGCAACCAAAAGCGACTCCATTCTTCATGTAAGAACGCTAACTAGTACTATGAAGCAAGCCTGCCAGCAGTCATTACAAGAACATGTCATAGCAATGATTGGTGTTGCCATGAATTAAAATGGTTGCTGCAAAGTTGTGTTTGACATGACTGTGAAATGCTATTGGAGCTTTTTGATCTTGCCAAGATTGGGAATTATTCCTTACTCTACACTTCCACTGTGATTGAGGCCCGAGTAAGAACCGAGGCTTTTACAATTTCTGTCTCTCAGTGTGATGTCATTTACATCTTTTTTGCATAAAGTATTTAATCCTTATTTTCTCCCCACCCCACTCAATCCATTTTATTTTCAGCCAAAAACAAATAATGTTCAATTTGGTTTGACTGTAAAGCATTTTGCCTCTTCGGTTTTTTAGAAAGCTCAGTGTGGATTTGCTGTGGAAGATAGGAGCCATGCCAACTCAGGCGCGTTTTACACCATGAATGCAGTTCCCGGGGTGCAACACTTCAGACTTTAGTGCTACACACTGTGTGGCTTTGCGGCTGAATTGCCCCGATGGGATTTGCTCTGGACTGTGAAAAGAATTCTGCACCAAGCTGTGACTTTTAAACTTCATGGCTTCCATGGATTTTTGTTTTGTTTTGTGGAACATTTGACATATTTTGAAGTGCAGAGAAAATACTTCTAAGTGCTGCAGTATACTCCACAGCCGCTCCTGACTTGATGGTAAGGCTGCCACACTGGATGTATTTCTAGCATAGTACATCCAGTGCCACATCTGAATAAAGCAGATTAAAAGGAAGTCTGAACCCTTGGTGAGACCGGAATTGTTACAAATCACACAATCACCTCCACTTTGCCAGACAACAGTTATACTCTGGGGTCTTCAACATGTTGCCTATCAGCATCAATGTGCACACATACATTATTTCTTGGCACATGCTGAGCTTCCTGTTTTTAATTTGATTTCTTAAGGTTTTTAAAATCAACTTTTTATTTTTAATCTGGGAGGCTTGCCACAAACACAGCACCACCCTCCAATGCTATCTTTATTTGAAATCAAAAGCATGATTTTCTGTTTTGGAGCTCAGAACTCATCTCTGGCTTGTACTTGGCTCCACAGGCAAGTTACTTTGCTTTTCAGTTCACCAGACTAGCTTCTGGAAAATGGTATTCTGAGACCGCCATGCCCTCCAGAGCAGCCATTTTATGAAAGCATGGAAGATGCACTTATAACATTCTAAATGGGTTCACCTACCCTAAAAGGTTATTGCACATCTCAAAGATCAGGGATAGCACTAAACATTTGTCACCTGACACCAAGGATGAGATGCTCCCACTCCCATTCAATGCACAGAAGAGGACTGTGCTAGGAGTTGAAAGTTACTCCAACACTAGTAATGGGACAGCATCCTTTAGTGCACTCTGAACTGCAAGCTAGCATAGCAGATGGGAGGCAGGCTGTATGGCACACACAGTTCTGCCCTGCCCTGCCCTTAGTGTTATTGATTTTAGAATGCTCTGCTGTTCTAATTCTTGTGAGCCGCACAGAGAACCATGTATGGCCCATTGTTGGGGCTTACAAATTGAATGAATGAATACATACAACCCTGCCACCACTATGGGCATGTAACCATCCATGGGCTCGGCCCTGACACAGAGCTGGTACTGCCAAAGAAAATAGGGTGCCCACATATTTTCACTTCTTGTATGAAGCCATCCTACGTTAAGTGCAAAGCTTTCCGTTTTAAGGCCGCCGATGGCCAGTCCCTAACACTGCATCCGTAGCGTGGCCCTGCACCGCAAGTGTCCCAAGAGCCTTCAAGCCCAAGCTGCCGAGTGCAAGTGAAGGAGTGGTCCCTCACTGGTCCCCTTGTGCACCCTCCTTCCATAGCTGGCAAAATTCTTATTTTTGCCCTATGCTGTTAAGGAAAAGAACAGGTGAGACACATTGCTGAAGCAACTTGGCCACACCTGGGAAAAGTCTTTGGGCGAGACCAGGCAGGCCCATCTAGTACTTCTGATTCTTACCAGCCAACTTAAATGAACTGTTAAGAACATGAGCAGAGAAGTCCAGGCAAGGGCGTTTATGCCATCAGCTCCTAAAGAGACCTTCCGTGAACTATTCTGGGCTTCAGTTCTTCATATTCTGATGTTTTATCAGTCTTTTGGTAGCTTTTATTTCAGTATTAAACATTGCATTTGACATAGTGTACTTGAAAGAAAAACGGTCTGGCATTAAATATATTATAAGTGACTCCTATATTCATAGAAAAGGAACTGGGTCTTTATAGGCTCTCTCACAGATGCACCCATTCTTCCAAGGATTCATATACTATCCAGTGGAAGACAAGTAGCATGAAAATATACTGAACACAGCTTGAATGCATGTAAAGAAAATGTAATACATGTGAATTAAATAATGAAAACCAACACTGGCATTTAGGAAGTTTCATGCCACATGACTAATTAAGGGAAGAAGCTTCCAGAACATAGTTTCTGCAAGCTGTAGCCCCCTCCCTTTAATTTAAACAGAAATCTTCTTTTGGCTGAAGAAATGGACACATTTTAAATTATTCAGATGACAATGGGAGCATATCAGTGGGGATCCAGATTTACTTTCAGATTATAAAGGATTGAGGAGGAAGGAACGGGAAGAGATTTGACTGCTTGGAATTGCAAACCAAGCCTGCTGTCTGAAGAAAGTAATCAACAACAGTGGCCACAAGCAAAAATATATTTGCTGCTATTCAGCAGTAACTAACACAACACTGCTGATAGTGACTCTCTACTTTGGCTTCTGTAGGAACACACACATACATCTTGGAACACACATATGCTCGAGTCTGATGCTTGAAAAATCATTTGCCACCACTATGCCACCTGCTGCCTAGATGATTGGGCTTTAAATGTAGCACAGGTACTAAAATGCTGGAAAAACATAAGCAGGCGATCATTACATGGCACTGAATAGATGTTAGCAAAAGGCATTTCTGACTTTCCACTGGGTTGTCAAACTATAACTGGGTTAGGACCCTTCATTGACAGGGAAATAATTAAATATAGATCCAGAATTAGGAAATGCAGTCCACTCCACCCAGGTTTACCTGGGCCTTTAAAGGACAGAAGCTGGTACCTGTGATTGGAAGACTGTGGACTACCTAATTCCTCTCCAAAGAGTCTAGATGCCAACTCACTCCCTAGGAGCACATCAAACCAGTATTCTAGGCTTAGCACTAGCTTTTCTATCATCATCATCTTAGTTTAGTATCTCCAGAAGCCAAATCACCTTGGGTTCTGAATAACTGGAGCCTGCCTACCAGAAACATGCCCTTCCAAATTTGCACTGGCATTGTCATACATATAAGGAGCTGGCTAGCAGAACCTAAGGAAACTGTACAGAATGACACACCTATCAGATTATGATGGGTCATCCCTTTTTCTAGCCAGAATACTACAAAAAGGAGATTATAAAACAGGAAGTTACTTTAGGTCTGATAGCACTATCCTATTCATGTCTACTCAGACCTCAGTCCCACTGAGTTCAATACAACATTACAATTAAAGTCATGAGAAGAATATGTAATTATTTGCTTTGGAATTTGTGGTGAGAACATTCACTGATGCAGGCTGCAGTGAGGCTAAACTCCAGCCAGTGAGAATCACTTAAAATGCTTCCTCTATTAGTGCTGATATTTTTCCACAGCTATTCTTTGGAAAACTTCAACTTGCCCTTAAAATCAGAAGATCCTTAGAAGTGTAAGAAGTGTCTTGTTACAAGACTTCAAGGCACAAATCTCATTGCGGCAATGCCAGCATACACAATCAATTTAAGAAGAGGTTAGCTTCCATCATAAACATTTATTAAATTCCTCATACAAGATCACACCAAGGAGGATGATAAACTGATTAGCATTTCAGAACAGCAACAAGGGCAAAAACATGCCATAAAACTATTAATAAACTCCACAAAAACAGAGGGTGAAGCATATTCACTGTTACAGTATGCATCTAACTGCATAAATCCATGTTACATTACATCTTCCTATATTGGCAATATCATACTACCAGGTTAAAAAAAATGACGGGTTTTTTTTTCTTCTTTAAATTCACACTTTACCTTGTTTTCACTGTGCCTAGGCAATGCCTATACGTAAATATAGGGTCTCACAGCATCCCCTTCCTCCCTAATTGGCGCTGACAGAAGTGGAAATGTCAAACTGGGGTGGGAGGGTGGGTTGGTGTGTGTGTGTGTGTAATTGTCACTTTTCCAAGTTACTGTTAATTACTTTAAAAAGATATAAAAACAATGTGCAAGTCTTTTCATATCCTACCGACTAACAGATTTCCTGTGCTATGTCATGCATGATCCACCTACAGTGGATATATTACACATACGCACACAGAGGACTAGAAAGGGCCAAAGATTGCTCTGGTTAAGCATCCAAGTCACTCCTGATTAGAATCACACCGAGTGGGAAGTGGGGACATGCTCATTGGCCCCACACCTTCCACTCTCTTCCCATTACCTGGCCTGACTGCCTTCCACATATTGTAACATAAGGAGAACCACGCTGGATCAGGTCAAGGCCCATCTAGTTCAGCCTTCTGCTCAGACTGTGGCCACCCAGCTGCCCACAGGAACTTCACAGGCAGGGCATGAGTATGACGGCACCCTCTTGTCCATGTTCTCCATCAACCGGTGCATGTGGGCACCCTGCCTCTAGCAATGGAAGTGGCACATGGCCATGAGGACGAGGAGCCACTGACAGCCTTATGCTCTAAAAAATTGTTCCAGCGTCTTCAAAAAGCACCCAACCTGCTGGCTCTCACTACATTTGGTAGCACTGAGTTTCACAGATTAATTAGTCACTCGGTGAGAAACCACACAGGCAAGTTTCCCAGTTGTGCACACAACAGCAGTATACTTCTTGCGACAAATCTTTGTTCTCCAGTGCATGGGGGTCAAGAAGACTGGGCTGGGGACTCACGGCTGGCCAGCACGTCCCCACCCTCAAACAGTTCTAACAAGGCAGAGGGACTGAATATCCAAATAGGAATGGCTGTAACATTTCTATACACATTTTAAATTGGCTTAACATAGGAAAGTGAGACACTGTATTTCTTGCACATGACAGCATTCTAGCCCCACCATTTACAATGCTTTTTCAAGACCTGGATGCTTCCACTTACATGCACACTTGCTAATAGAGATAACATTGCACATCTGATGCAAGATGCTGCAATACTATTTCTGTCTGTCTGTCTGTCTGCCTTTCTTTCGGCTTTTACTGTTAAAGAGAGCAACACAACTAACTTCTGAAATGAACACAGGGCATACGTGGGATTGTCTCTGGCACAACCCCTAATGAAAAGCATTTGAAATGCAATTCCTGTTCATTACAACAGAGCTTGATAATAGATTGTGCTCACAGTCCTTTTCTTCTACATTTCTTCATCTCATTCAGCAACTTTATCATAAGACGATCTTGGCCAGTATAATTTCCACATTTAACTTTGTAGGCTGAAGTGTAAGTCACCCAGGGAAACAGTTCAGACACACTGCATGGCTCAAACGACTTCACGGTAAATGCTAATTTGAATGCTATGTTAATTTGGCTGTTAATCTGCAACTGGACATTTACAGTGAGGCTGAAAATTTGCTTCTACCTTTTGCATAAAAAGCACATTTTCCCTGCAACCACCAGAAATCATAATATTTTATCCTCCACAGTAAACTAAGCTTCATTTTGCAAGATATATTTCATGTACAATGGAGGGATTGGTTTCACACAGACTTTTTTACACAGACTTTCAGTTCATCCACAGGGTTTTTAAATAAGATGGTTAACCACAGCACTTTCTGCCCTGGCAAGGGGGCTTTTTAAAAAGACAGCTGGGTCTACCCTTAAAACTGTACCAAAAAATACAGGCTGCCAAGTTTTCTGAAGTGTGCCTAGTTGTGGCTGTGATTCAACCAAGTGAACTATCTGAGCTGCAGGCAGGCTGTTTTGGGGCTTTATAGCATAATGGCATCTAAGCTGCATTGTGCTAAATTCTAGCTAGCACATCAAGCGGTTGCCTTTGAGTTCCCCTTTGGTTCATGCATAACAAGTTCTTCTTTGGTTCATGCATAACAAGTTCTTCTTTGGTTCATGCATAACAGTTCAGCAACCAGGTCTCATTAATTCTTAGGGTCTCCAACCTCACAGCTTTCCATAGGAAAGAAAGGAATGGGCAAAAGCACATAGGAAAATGCCTTATACAGCGTCAGACCCTTGGTCTATCTAGCCAACACTGATGGGCAGTGGTTCTCCAGGGATTCAGGAAGGATTCCTTCTCAGCTCTACCTGAGCCTGTCAGGAATTGAACATGGGACACTCTGCATGCATATCATGTGCTCTGATTCTGAGCACAACACCTTCCAATGGTCTGCAGGCAGCCCTCCAGCATTTCCCAATGCAAGAAATAAAATATTCTAGGAATGGGCTTCATAGTTCCTGTCATAAAAGCCTTGTTCATGGAGTGCCTCTGGATCATCCTGTCACAGTTTGGGTGACAGTTCCTACCCTTCTGGGATGCTCTAGGAACAAGGCTGCTATGGCAGGAATCACAGGGTCTTCTTCTAAAAGGGAATGGGCCTCAAAATGTGGCATGGAACAGGGGCTCTGTCTAGAACTGTTGCGGCTGGGGTGAGTGTGACAGCAACACAGGCAGTCTTCAACACCCCAGCAGACACCCAACGTGGTCTTCAGGAAAGAACAGCATGTGCTCTCCTGATAAAACTATGAAAATTTCTCTTTCCAATACCTAACACAGTTTCGGCAAGAAACACTGTACTGTTGATGGCAGCTTAGCTGCTTTCTAACAGGAAACACTTATAATTTTTCTTAAACAAAACTAAACAAACACCCTGTAATTTTTCTAATAGCTCTAGATTATTTAAGTCAGTCGTATGTATTAAGATGTGCAAGTAACCTAGCAAAAAAAACCTCCTATAGTCAAATCAACTGCACGCAAATTGTTACCTTGTTCACTTCCATGATTTCCCTTCTCTCTTCACTTGCAAAGAGAAGTTGGCTGGCTGCTCCTCGGTCTTCATGCTTAAAACCATCCTCTTCCACATAAGGAATTAATTGCTGTGAACAGGAAAAAAAATTCTGTATAAACTATATTGAGAACTTCTTGTGGAATCAAGTGTGAAAAACAATGCCCTAAAACAAGTGGATCAAATGAAATTTGAATTAACAGGAACAATGGTTTTCAATAGCATGTCCCCTTTTATATTGATTCAGTTTTAGATATTCAGGAAATTTAAGATGCTTTCTCTTTTACAAATATTAATGTGGTCCTTAAAACTCCTCCCCACACACACACACTCACCTCACCATCAAGGTTCATAAGCTTAAATTACATGGATATTAAAAAGCACTGCTTAAGGCAAGCAACCAGCAAAACTGGTACATAGCATGTTTTTGAAATACTGAAATCTCAGCACAATCTAAGCCAGGGTGGGCAAAAGGTACATCTAATGATCAATCCCTGGGTGATTTGCAATAAATCAGCCAGGATTTCCAACTCCCAATTCTTCAGTAACAGCAGCAACAATACACTTTCCCACCCTAAATTAAGGTGAAATGAAGTGACCAGAAATGGATTTGAGCTGTGGGGCTCCATTCACAACTGGCACTCAAATTCTAGGGCGCAGGGTCCTTTAATCCTTAGTGTCCATGCTATGCAGTCTCTGTCATGTTGATCTTAGGATTCTAGTAAAAAGCAGACCAGGAATCATAAACCTGAAGTGTGCCCCTCCCTCATAAAACACCTGTGCCTTCTCCACCTACTTACCTCTATGGGGATGGGGTCAAGTCCTGCACAGTTTTCATTGCATTTGTCATATACCAATCTCAGTTTCCTAAACAGTATTGAGAGTTGACGTAGATGTTCTTGCAGCTTTCCTAATCTGTCTTGGTATGTGCCCGTATGATAGGTGACACCATTTGGAAGCTGGAATATTTATACATGTTTTTAAAAAGAATTGAATAAAATCCATGGTCACATATCATCCAAACTCTAAATTAAGAATATTTTTAAAAATTAAAGAACACATATTTTTCCAAAAGACATTGAGCTTTCTGGCAAAACACACATCCACTCACTTATTAATGCTAGTGCCAGAACTTGTTCTGAAATATTGAGTATTTTTATTTCATTCTTATCTTCCCTTTCATTGAGCTAAAAATACATCAATGATAAAAGCACAATAAAAAGCATCCAATAAATATTAAAATAGAAGTTTTAAAAGGGTACATCAGTATCTAAACATAAAATAGCTTTCCAGAACTGTATCAAAATCTGGACATGGGAGACACTGATAATCTTCATTGGGGAAACAGACTCACAATAAAAGAACCCTCCTTGAGAAGATCATGCTCCTAACATGCCAGAGAAGTTATTTAGCAGGGAATAGGCTCTTCCCAACCAAGTCGCTGCAGAAACTCAGAACTAGGGCTATTATCCCATGTGTACTTGGGTGTAAGTCCCACTGAACTCAGTGGGATATAATTTTGAATAAGCAAACACCAGAGCTGTAAGTTGCTAATATTTTGACTGGCTAACACAGTCTTACCCTCCATAAGCTATTCTAATCCCCCAAGTTAGCAACCACACCTAAATTCCAGTTTACCTGTGTGCTGTGTAAAAAAGTACTTTCTTTTGCCTGCCCTGAACCTCCCACCATTTTAGCAAGAGGACATCTTCTCCTTATCTACTTTCACCACCTCATGAACAACTTTATATACCTTGCTTATGTCCCCGCCTCCTTCCTTAACTTGCCCCCTTCCCTTTTTTCCTAAGGGAAAAAAGTTCCAAATAAGCCTATGATTTTTTTTTTAAACGGACATTATTATCGTAAATTCAAGTGATTCTACTGTCAGAATAGTTTCTTGTTGGGTTGCCAAGAAGCCCTAAATAGGCTTGTTGTTAGCCCCTAAATGAATAAATAACCCAGTAGTCCACATTTGTATGTCATGCTCCACACCCTAAAAAGGAGCTAATTGTGAGTTCCCTGTAAAACAGAAGAGCACAACCATCAGCTTTTAAACTGGCGGGTTATTACATGCCTACACAGCACACAGTTCACATGTAACAAAAATGATTCAAAAACAACCTGATTCTAAAACAACGCATATTCAACCCACTAGCCTGGACTGTACGCAAAGACAACTGAAAGTAAATACTGTTGTTGAATTTTGGGTTGCCTCTACATGCAAATCCTGGGGCTTTAACCAAAACCAGACCAGGAAGAAAACTCATGGTTTGTTATTCAGTTGTGAACTTTGGATTATTCATGATTAATAACCTATAGTAACCCAGTGTGCCGAATTTGCATGTAATGATAACTCACGATTCAGTAGCAACCCATAATTCAACAGCACACTGGGTTGGCAATATGTGAGAACCAGACCAACCTTTCAGGTCAATGAGTGTCAATTTTAATTCTGTACTTGGAATGGAATTGTTTTGTTTATAGTACTGGTTTGTATGCATTTGAACAATGCTTATTTTCCTTGTTTTGTATTTTTAAATATGATGCTGAATTATTTTATAATTCTTAAAAATATATTAAGCAATTGAAAGAGAATTTCTCCTACCCAATGTTAAACTCTAAGTCAGCATGAAGCTTGTCTGTGTTTCTACTGTATTGTTCTCTGAGTTGGTTCAAGATCTGCACAAGGGAAAAGAGGTGGTGGCTTTGCTGTTGCTCACCTGCATATTTCTCAGCAGCTGGAAAATCTCCATGGTGCGAAATACAATATCCTGCACAGTCTCTTGACCAATGCGGCATAAAGAAGCTGTGTTCACTTCCCGTGCAGCTTGAGCCTGAGGTCCAGAAAAGGCACCAGGAGGCATTCCTGCTCCTGCTAGAGGTGGTGTTGACATTTTGCTGCCTTGTGGAATCAGACTGTACAGAAAGAGATGCAGAAAGGAGTCTCATGACAATACACATCTGTTGGCTACCATTATCAGCATATGTTTACATTACCGCATCACTTTTTTCTCCACAAACATCTGTACAGATTACGAAATATGCACGTCTGCTGGACACACTGAATCCATAGTACACTAAGAGTTCTCCTACATTTAAGTTCCACTTTATCTGTGTCACAACAACCTACTCAGCCTGGCTACAGAACAAGATTGCTATCCAAGCACATATATCTTACATAGTTTTGCAATGGGATTGTTTCCTAAGCCCATTCTTTGCCTTCCAGGCAAAATGGGCATGAAAAGCCTTGGTTCTTCCTGCTCTCGTGATGGCAGTCCACTTGGTATAGGAGCTAAGTATTGAACATTGCATTTAGCAAGGCCTCTTTAAAGGCACTGTTCATGAAGACTGATTGTCAGCCACCATCTAACCTACTAGCTATATGTACCCATCTGTCCACTACTGCTCTGAAGTTGCATTAAAAAGAATGCTTACTACTTGCCTTGCTTATTTTGTTATTTACATAGAACTAGATAATTTGAGAATTAGCTTGGTCCCCATGGGCTATCAAGCATAACCACCTCTTGCAATAGTGTAAGGTATTGTGGCACCTACATTAGACAGTGCAAGACAATTTGTTTCCAAAATGCCAAATAGTAAAATGCTACAGGTTTAATTAGCAGTTAGCAAAAACTTTTGCCTGGATTTTGCATACTAAGCTCACACACAAAGCTCCCCCTAAGGTTCATCACCCCATAAAGATTTCAACACAACATTGTAATATTTATGCTCACATGGAAGTCTAGGAAACTTTTTGTGTACCCAGCCTATTTTCAGCAGTCATGCAGTGGACTGGATCCAGAATTAGTTATTTGCAATTAACTTCCACTGAGGTTAATGGGACTAACTTCTCATGAACTAATGACGAATTTGTCCCATAGATCACAAATTAGGGATGCAACCCTAAGCATGTTTACTGGTAAAACTGGCCTTTACATAGTTTATGAAGGGAGTCAGAGTTTTATAGTTGCTTCAGAACAGCAGCCTTCTGGCTCACTGTCCTGTTCAGCCTAGTGAGCCAGTATCCCCATCCATACACACACACACACACACACACACACAAAGCAACAATAAGTTGTGGTTGATAAAAGTGGAGATGCAAGCCAATTATACTGCAGGGTTTTAAGGCAGGTTTAGAGCATCAGATTTTAAGACAGATTAAGTGTGCAAACCTATGGTAGTGGCCATAAATCCTCTACCTCAAACACAGTTATCCAGCACAAATAGGGAGAAGTCTAGAGATGACTGTCACCTTCTCAGTTCTTGCCCTGCATTTTCTGCTAAACAGGCTTTTTTCCTGACTAGCTGCAGCATTGCAGAAAGGAAAGGAAGGGGCCAGAGAAGTGTCTAGATAGATAATATCCTGCTCTTCTCTGTAAAACACTCCCTTTCCAAGGTCCCTTTCCAACTCAGCTGGGAAAGTAAGTCATTGTGATTCCTTCCATTCCACCTGTGAAGGGGGTTGGAGTGAAACTGATTCTCAGTTCCAAGTCTCTGCTTTCTCTTAACCTTTGCTCTGGGAGTCTGGATTATCCTATGGCCCCTCAGATGCTGTCTAGGGGCCACAGGACTGCTCCCTAAGCTGCAACCCTAAGTACACTTTCCTGAAGTAAGCCCTACAGCACACAGTTATAGTCGCATCTCAGAAAAAACAAGATTTTTAAAGAAGTAATTTACATTTTGCATTAGAAACAGAACTGGGGGTGGAGCAAGAGCAAGGTTCTGCTTCTCCTTTCTCTGTTTCTAGGATAGCACGCAGTATGAAAGAAAAACTTGCGAGGGAAGGCCAGGGACACTCAGTGGGAAAAAGAGAAGACAGAAAGCACACATGAAACGGAGGTCAAGCTATCCCATTGCATAATCCTAGGTCTTATCCTTGATTTCTTACTTCTGGACATTTCTCCGGTCACACAAATATCATAACATTATTTGTCACTCTCATTCCAATGTTGCTCCCATCCATTCTTCCTGCAGTATTGTATCCCAATCTTCTCCAACCAGGTAACTTCCAAGTGGCCTACAGCTCCCAGCATCCCCCAGCCTGCCTCGGTGGCCTCCAGATGGGTCACATAACAGCTCCTACTATCTCCAAACCAGCCATGGCGGCCTCCAAATAAGTCGCACTACAGCTCCCAGCATCCCCAGCCAGCCTGTCCCATCCGGATGGGAAAGGCTGTTTCTCCCCTATTATAACGCAGATTTACTCAGATGTGTTCACTGAGAGCGGTGGGGGGGGGCACCTATATTGATCACCCAGGCGCCCTCCCTCGTACCAGGCAGCCCAGTCTTCCCCGGCTCGGCCCCCTTCTCGCCTGAACCGGCTTGGCCCGCGGATCCGTCGCCGACGTCGCCTCACATACTCGACACCTCCCCCGGCGGCGGCGGCGGCGGCGGAAACCGAGCGCGCGCCGCGACTTGGAGCGTCGCGCGCCGCCGGGCTCTCCGTCGCTTCCGTTTCCGCGAGCGCCCTGCACGGAAGGGATCGAAATGGCGGCGCCCTGCAGGCCCATGGAGGCAGCCATTTGTTTTTTTCCCCTGCAGCAGCTCCTTCTTGCGCCGCGCGCCCGCGGTGTTGTAAACCGCTCGTATTGGGCGGGATAGAAATGCAAACACGGAGAGCCCACGTGCTTGTAGTGGTTAGAGTGTTGCATTGGGAGCCGGGAGATCTAAATTTACGTCACCACCCACTACTGATCTGAGACAATCTCTGAGTGGGGTGCGACTTAACCTGGAAAAAATGTATTTTTTTGTGTTTATTTGAATGGGAAATGAATTGGTAGCTCTTCTGTTAGTTTTACATACCTTGTAATAATCATTCATAATTTTGCATCTAAAATATAACTCTTAGTAAATACTGATACTCTTTTGTTATAGTACTCTGTTATCTTACATGCTTCACAACCGATCTTACTGTTTTAATACTGATTCTTTTAACAATCATTCTTTTCTGTACTAATTTGTGGAAAGGTCTACAGACCAAATCTTAATCAGCATGAGCAATTTTTATGCATTTGTATCCTCTTTTACTTTTTGGCCCTCTTTTAGCAATGATTGTGTTCAACATACCCCTAATTTAGGGATTTCAAGAGCTTACACCTGGGAAATACATCCCGTTCGCTTGAAAGACTTCCCTTTAAATTCATAATTCTTGGGATAAATGTATTGTGTAAATGTTCGGGGGCTCTGATTTAGCATACATTGTTATCATACTACCTTGACTTCAAGCTTGCAGGTGGGGGCTTCCTTAATTTTGTTCTGAGAGGCCACACCAATTCTTCAAAAGCAAGAAACGCCATTACATGTTTATTGCTTGCTGTGGCCTGCCATCTTCATTCCCTCTCTCTACTGCCTTGCTTGTGCCAAATTTTATTTCATAACATCATTGAGCCAAGGACAAGTTTCCTTGTTCAAGCAACAAAAAGCACCAAATATATGGTTGGTGGTAGATAAATGAAAACGGATGCCAAGTGACGCATGCAATGTCTTCTTTTGAGGGCCCCAGCTCTTCTATTCCATCCCTCCCTGTCGCACCTCCCCTCCCCTCCTATGCATTGTAATTGCCCTTGACAGCTGACCTGCCATTTTTACGCATGAGTCTCATTGATTTCAAGCAGTTGTTTGTAAAAGAGGGAATATTTAGAGCACTTTTAAATACCACATCAATCAATACATTTGTACCATGTGTTCTATAAGCAAAGAGTCCAAGGAATCATGTGACGACAACGACGACAACGACGATGAAAACAACGATGACGATTGATTTATGCCCTGCCTTTCCTCATGGGAACTCAAGATATCTAGCAAAAGCAAGCAAGCAAGCAAACAGTAAATTAAACCAAAGCTATGTGTTAAAGCATCCTAAAGGAAATCAACCCTGACTGTTGTTTAGAAGGACAGATACTGAAGCTCAAATACTTTGGCTGCCTAATGAAAAGGAAGGAGTCACTGGAGAAGACCCTGATGCTGGGACGATTAAAGGCAAAAGGAGAAGGGGACAGCAGAGGTTGAGGTGGCTGGATGGGGTCACTGGAGAGATGGGTGTGGGGCTGGGTGGACTAGGGGATGGTGGAGGACAGGAGAAGCTGGAGGGATGTTGTCCATGGAGTCACAAACAGTCAGAAATTACTTTGTTATTAAACAGCAGCAGCAGCAGCAGCAACAACAGTGTTACAGCTTGTTTGGCTATAAGTAGTGTGGGAAACAGGATGGAAACCAAGGGCTTGCAGATGCCGGGTATCACATGGCAGTCCCCATGGGTAAATTAAGCCACTGTGGGCTGTTGGATTGTGCAAACCAGGTCATTGTGTTGACAATACTGGGCCAGCAATGGCCTGACTTAGTAAGTCACTTTTCTCTGTCCACTTGTTGACAATTATGCAGAGCTACTTGGCTGCAATGAACTTAACTTGCAGCACTTCTGTTGCATTTTGTTTTCTTAATGAAAAGCTGCTACCAGATCAGAAAACCAGGGCAGGTTTGTTCTCTATACCAATGGGAATGTCTTGGTGACAGCAAAAGTACCATGTCCAAATGACAGGCGGGTGAGTTAGAGAAGGCTGAATGAAATCAGCATTTGCAGCCTTTCTTGCATTGATCAGAAACCTTGATCAGAATCAAGGTTCCCTTTTCAACAATTACTATCACATTTATGACAGCTATTCTAAGGATTCTGACAGTCTGACATCAGAGGCCAGATGGGGACATTTCTACACCAGTGACTTTTCTAAGCAGCATTTCAAGATCAAAGAATGGGGCCAGAGTGGCGATAATTTATTGAAACTGACAGCAAGTGCATTCTTCCCTCTGAAATGCGTGATGTTTTTAACTGTGGTTACAAATCATAAGTGGGGAACTCGGTGCACAGACTTACTTGAAAGGGAAAAGATGAAAGCAGCTGGAGTACATTTAGGAATGAAAGTTGTATAAATTTACCATTGGATCTACCCTCTTCTCTTTCCCAAGCCTAAAACACAAGGAAGTAGACCTAAAACTTTGGTTTTTACTGATTGGTTAGACATTTGCTGCATTGGAGCCTCTATGATCTAAATGTTTGCCATCCTGCTAAAACAAGACTTGTGAGCTATTTGCATGCAGAGGGAGGAAGTGGCCCCCTCTTAGGGTTTTACAAAACTGGATGACTCTGAACCCACCGATGTTGTTATTACTCTGCATTTATATCTCACTGTTTTTCCTCTTGTGAGGAAACCAAGGCAGCTTACATAGCTCCAGTTCATCCTCACAACAGCCCTGGTAGGTAGGAAAGCTGAGAGCCATTGACTGGTAAACTTCATGGCCAAGTGGGGACTAGAACCCAAATATCCTGGGTCCCCAGTCCAACTCTTTATCCACCATAGCACATTGGCTCTATTTACTCCTCTCTTTTTCCTGGAGCAAACTTCTCCATTTGTAAATTTGAGTCAGGTGTAGTCTCAACAAAGACTACTATCTGTGCAGACTCTTTATGAGTCTTTCTAAAAACTGAGCTGAGCTAATTCTAAAGGGATATGAAGGAGCAAAAGTGTGCATGAAGCAGGAGCTGATTTTTTTTAAGTATTCTGCAAAGGTCCCCAAGGTACAGAGTTACAATAGCTGCTTTATTTCATACCTAAAAGTCTCCAGTGGCTAGTAATAGTACACAAGCTTCTGTTTTGTAGCCTATATGGTTTAACATTGATATATTTCTCAGAATAGTTTATTCAACCTTACTTTATGTCTTGCATTTATCACAGCTTCATGCTAGGAAAGCAACAGCAAGGTGCGTTGTGCACATGGGAGGTAGATTAGACCTGGAGGTTGTGTTTTTGGGTCAGTCACCACAATCGGCATGTGGCTGAGTAAATATATAAACTGAAGTCTTGTTCTTGCCCAACACTTTAACTACTATGCCACGCTTGTTCCTGACCAAATTCAGATTAATTTTCCCAAATATATAAACAAGCATGAACCAATCCACTTGCTGCAGATGAAACTTTCTGGTCAGAAGGATGTCTCTTTAACAAAACAACTTATGCGCAACTTATACAACAACAGAAACTTCCCCCAGTATTTCTTAAGGGAACCTGGAGCAAATGAGAAGGGATTCTTTCTCCTTCTCTTTCTGAGAATCTCCAAACTGCTCTACAAAAAGGGGTAGGGGGGAATGCCTTTGCCTGGAAAGCTTCTTACAGACTCACACATTAGAGCTACCTGGGCTTTATTGAAACCCTGGATAATTGTAATGAGTGCAAGTGAATTTCCTGGCTCCTGAAGGATGCTCTGGCTAGTGAAACCAATGGTGGGCAGCAGGTAGATCTGCATTCCTAACCAGCACTCCATGCATTCTTAAGCAGGGGCTTCTGGGAATTGAAGAGAAAAGCATCCGGTGCTCTACTTTCTGTCCATCCCTTAGCTAAGCAATCCAAGGATATTGAAGCCTGAGGCCATGATCACAACATCCAGACCCCAAACTACAGGTCCTTTGGCAGGGAACACCCCCAGACTTTGATCTAAGAACAAACCATGGGTTACACATCTGGGTTACTTTCCAACAACCCACAGTTTCAGGCCTGGACATCACAAACAGTGACTAAGGGAGAGAACGCCTCCGGGTTACCCAGCTCCACCTAGCTGCTGCAGGAGTGACCGGGCAGAGCACATGAAGCCCAGTCCCACTTCATTTTTTGTGTGCAGGGTCCACTTTTATTTGCCCTGAACTCTGGATAAAAAGCAGTGGAAGAAGCTCCTGCTTTTTCTAACTTGCACCATAACCTGGCGCAAATTACAAGAAAGCCCTTCGTAGCTCCCCAGTGCTACTGCGCAAGGCAGAGGAGGTCATTGGTAGGAAGCGTAAGCAGAAGTTAGCTAGTAAGCCAACTGGTCCACTGCATGTACAGGAAATGCAGAAAGCTGCCTTATATTCAGTCAGACTGTTGCCAGCTAAGCTCAGTATTGCTGATATGACCTGGCAGCAGTTCTCTGGGATTTCATACAGTTGTCTTTTCTAGTCCCCCTGGGAGACGATGGGGACTGAACCTGGAATTTTTGTATGAAAAGCATGTGCTTGACCTCTGAATTATAACCCTTCCCCTGATAATTTAGTGCTACGCCAGACAGCATGCTTTAACCCTGCCATGTAGAAATGGAAAGCTACTTCTAGAAACGGTGCTTTAAGACAGGCACAATAGGAAATACTGAACTGTCCATGCTTTAATGTAGAGTGTTTACAGGTTCCAAGTCTGGCAAAGGCCATCACCTTTTGCAAGGTTACAAAAGAATATTTTGCTGTTAGGATACCAGGAATGTTAATGAGGGCACAGAGAGAGAGAGAGAGTGAGAGAGAGAGAAAGGTGGGGGAAGGCTTGTAAATCCTCTGTATAACAAAAAGGAACAACTGTAGTATGTATCTTGCATTCTTCTGAAA